CTGGGTTTTTGTCTCTCCATTGACTGCTTGTGGAACTTCAAAAGGACATGTAGTTAGATGTAGCATTAGGTATGAAACGGCGGTACTGAGATAGCATTCCTAGAAAAGGACGGAACTCATCAATGTTTCTCGCTTCAGGGTTGTGTAAAATGGGTTTTCTTGGCATCTAGAACATGTAACCCGACCTTAACAAACCTATATACAAAGTAGAACGCAGTTGATGAAACGAACTCACACTTAGACCTTCACAACTTAAGTCCGTTTCGGGTCAATATTTCAAACATAACAGCGAGTATTTGTAGGTGTTCTTTGTAAGCAATCGAGTAATGAAAATATTGTCCAAACGAACACAAGCTAAAGCTTTATCCTTTACTAACTCATCGAAGGCCCTCTGAAAAATACGGGGAGCAGAATTTATGCCTAAATGTAATCGGATATATTGGCAAAGTCCCGTGTGTAATGAGGGTACTAAGTTATCGGAAAGGCTCATCGCGCTCTGCGTGACTGAGAGGAATTGTAGTATATTTTTCACCACCTGCCAGTGTGGTATACAAGTCTTCAATGCGAGATAAAGGATATCTGACTACCATAGAAGACTAATTGGAAGTCATTTTGTAGTCGCCGCAAATTCGCATGAAGCCATCCGGTTTGGCCAAAGGTAAGATTGACGAACCTCAGTTAACAAATTGCACGGAAAATCAAATTCCCGGAGTTAGTAAGCCGTTTAATTCCTTTTTAACTTTCAACCCTTACAACGTACGGTATTGTAATGCTTTAACGAATTTGTGCTGGGTACTTTCAATTAATCTTATTGTAGCTTGATAGATATCAGATTACCTAACTTCCCCGAAAATATGCTACATGTTTGGTTCAGATTTTCCTCTAGTCCGACTACTTCCTCAACTGTTTTCAGAACATCCAACGTCTTACAGAATGAGTCCATCCAGTAACTTCCGAAGTACATTGGTTCGATTATCCGATATAACATAGACAGTCGGTTTATGTGTTTGAGTGCCACCTTACACTTGAACAAAACATTTACCAAGAACGCCCATCGGTTTGCCTGTCTACCTCCGAAGTTTAAACGTGGATGAGGCGCATGAAGATAGGTGCTTCACAGCGGTGTGGCACCTAATTATTGTCCGACCCAATGCTCCCGTATTCTAACTCTATCAGTTCCCCTCTGTCCTTGTGATGTGGAGCTCTA